ACAACTGAGCTATTCCGGTTTTGCTGAAATTTCTAAAAGTGCAATATAAAAGAATTGTACCTTCCGTTATACAATTTTAATGTTGCACAAGAATCAAATTTGTTGACCAAATAGTCGATTATTTAGAATTTTTAATGCTCGAATAATCCGACTTCAATTTTGAATCTTTATAAAGATTTAATACGTCTTTTTATAATTGTATTCCTATTTTACAAATTCTATTAAATCTATCGAATTTATAAAAAATTAGTAGCAATGAAAGAGAATACATTTCTAAAATTACATATTTATTACAAAATTTCAGCTGTAGCAATGCCGGACAGATGTTAAATTTAACAATTTCGCGACAGATACAAAATTCTTTTTCGTGCACGCTTTTAATAAAATTGAAAAATAAAAAAAATATGAATATTTAACATATCGCCAATGAATTATTAACCATCGAACTGTATTTGATAACTACAGGTGAATTATAGTTAATATATATTGTAATTATAAAAATATAATACGATCTTTTAAAAAATGTTTTAAAAATAATTAATTTTAAAAAAAATAAAAAAGAAATCAATGCAACCTTCAATTAGTTTTTTTTTTTGAATTTAAGAAGTTGCAAGGGTTTTTTTAGGTGGTTAGAAATAATTTATGGAAATTTAATTTTTTTAGGAGAAGAATAATTGTTACCATAATTACATTGTTTGTGGAAAATACAAACTATTTTGTATATGATTCTAACTTAAATTCTTTTCAATTTTCAACGCGATTTTCTCAATAAGACTTAGATTATTTGAAATTTTTAGAGTAAGAAAATAAATCATTTGTTCAACCCGCAGCGATCCAACCCGTCCAATAAATAAAAAAACAACCTTCACCTATTCAAAATAAAAATGATCTAACTGGAAGAAATTGACTAAAAATAAAGCCAGTTAGCAAAATAAAAATACAAAAATAAAATAAAAAAAAAGTTAGTCTTATCGTAGCAGATTAAACCCTTCAAAACAAAATAAAAATAAATTTAAAATAAAAAGTATAATGTATAAAAATGAAATGTGTAAAAAAACCTACCATAACACCAAAAGATTTATCGCTGCAGCACGAAGATATAAAGACGAAAGTTAACCAGACCAAAATTGGGCATCTCTTTTGATATCGTTAGGTTCGGCATCTCTCTTGAAATCCTGAGGTTCAGCATCTCTCTTGTAAAGTTGAGGTTCGGCATCTCTCTCGTAAAGTTGAGTTTCAGCATCTCTCTTGAAATCCTGAGGTTCAGCATCTCTCTTGTATTGCTGAGGTTCGGCATCTCTCTTGTAAATTTGAGGTTCGGCATCTCTCTTGATATCGTTAGGTTCAGCATCTCTCTTGATATCGTTAGGTTCAGCATCTCTCTTGTACGTCTGAGGTTCGGCATCTCTCTTGTACGTCTGAGGTTCGGCATCTCTCTTGTAAATTTGAGGTTCGGCATCTCTCTTGATATCGTTAGGTTCAGCATCTCTCTTGTACGTCTGAGGTTCGGCATCTCTCTTGATATCGTTAGGTTCGGAAACTCGTCTTATTACTCCTATATTTCATACTATTAATTGACTAATTTTAAAAATAAAAAACTTAAGGTCAAAAAATTCAGTTTTTCCTACCAGCACAAACCAAAGAAATAAGGAGAGGAAAGGTTAATAAAGCTGATGTGAATTTCATGTTTATATTCTGTATATATGTATCTTTTCCCTTTCTAAAAAAAGCTTTCAAGTGAAGTGAATAAATAGCGAAGGTGAATTCCAAGTCTTATATATATTGTTTTTGTAGAGGCTTAAATTCTTGATTTTTTGATTGTTGTAAGAAAATTATAAAGTGAGGTTTTTTGTTACGCAACGTTGTTTGGTAACTTATGGTCAAACGAATTGACAAAAACTGATTCATTATTATTATTCTTTGAGTTACGCATTGAAATTATTTCTTTCACAGCCATTTAAATTAAATTAAATCTTTTGATTTCTTCTATTGTCAAGGAATCAATTTTTAACAAATTCAATTTTAAACAGGTAAGTTTATATATGGCGTAAATCAAAAAGGGCTTCCAGAAAAACGACGTTCTATCTGATGAAATGATCGTCCAAGCCATGATAATCATTTTCAAGCCATTCGAATTCACACAATTACCTTAGATAAGATTTTTATTTTTTTCTAAGCCATTATTGACGCAAAATTCCTTATATTTAATAGCCACAATCTTAAAGCCTCAAATCAAAATATTAATTATGTTATTCTATTAAATTTATATTTTTTTTATCACCATACCTAGTTAATTAAAATTTCAGTTTAGAAAAGATTAATAAAAATGAGAGTCACTGCGATCGAACCTGAAAATAAAAAAAGAATTAAAAATAAATCAAAATTTATCTGCTGCATTTTTCCAAAGAGATCGTTCTCAAAGAAATATTTGAAAAAAATTGAAATAACACATCACTTGGGCCCGAATCAAAAGTCAAAAAGAAATAAAAATTTAAAAAATAGAAATAACCAAATGATTCAATTCAAAATAGAAATTGTACAATAAAACAAAAGATATTGTATTACTGCGGCAATGAAGTAAGTAACCAATAAAGAGAAAAGATGAAAAGTGCTGTTTTATTTTATCTATCGATGCAATAATCCAATGATACTAAAAAGTCAGATATTCATATTTTTAATTTTAACAACCATTTCATTACCTTATCTTAAATCTCCAGAGAACAAAGTTTTATAAAGATTTTTTATTATAGTAAAATGCATAAATTTGGCGGCTTTTTTAACTTTAAAGATTTTATTAGAAAAAGAAATTATTGACATACATAAAATTTTTTTTTTAGACACCAACAATTATAATAAAAAATTTACATAAATAACCAATAAGAATCGTCTCAAGCTACAAGCGCGGGGAATTTATGTGTCACCTTGTGTATTATATGAAATTAAATATATACTCTTAAGTTATTAATTAATTATATATATTGGCAATTACGGATAAATATTTCTCAATTAAAATAAACTGAATTTGTTATAACAGATTTTTTTTAGCTCGATAACTTTTTCAACCAAAAAAGTGTATTCATCATTCAAAGGAAGATAAAATTTAATGCATTATTAAATAATGACTAAACCTTAACTTATTCATTTTTCACATTTTTATTGCTTTATTTTTATACTAATTCTAACAACAATGGATGGATTAAAATAAATAGCTTACGGAAATTGAACGTTGGTTTTTACCAAGCGGATACTCTGAGAAAACTATCTGATAAATCGGGTCATCAAAAACAACTATATAGAAAAACATGTATTCTTACCTAAAAAAATTAGATGAACGTGATAAACGGATTTAAAGCTTATTATTAGTAAAGAAAGATGTAACCAGCACTAAAAATAAAGATATTAAAGTACGTATGAATAGGAAAATATACTATATAACATCTAAGTGATTGATAGCCGAATCATAAGTCATCACCAAATAAAATTAAAACCCAGTAAAAGAAAGTGAGTTTTATAAGTAGTTTTTTATTTGTTATACAAAATTGCTGATTTGAAGCAGCTTTATAATTGTAATCAGCAACCATAAATACTACTTGGAGTTTTAAATGAAATTATTTCGATAAAAACGACATTCAATTTGTTAAAAGATAAAATTCTCAAAATTCAATATTATCAAACAAATAATTAATATTGATATCAATATATGTTCAAAAAAAATTAGATGTCAAACACAAGTTCTTTAGAAACGTAATCTATTATACATTATAAATAAAAGTGTATATTTGTTAATAATTTATATAAAAATGATAAAAACAAATGATAAAGTTACCATTGGATTTAACTTTATTTGTAACCGGACCATCATCTTTAAATATATAAATATAGTGTGACTTCCATTATTAGCTTTTGTATGTTCTGAATCAATACTCACAATTCTTGAATCGAGATGAGCAGCCGGATGAGAAAGCCAACAATGCATTAGTTCAATATAACCTTCAGGAGAATATAGATACTGTAGTATCGATCAGAGGGAGAAGATCATCACAAATGTCAATAATAAAATATACATCATGAAGTAGATTCCAAAAATGCCTTCTTCCTGTCAAAAATTCCCACATAATCATACCAAAGCCATACACATTTGAGGTATTAGTATATGCACTTGAAAAACCTCCGGTGCAACTTACTATAAATCTCATTATCGTCTGCATCTGATGATGCGGTTGATGATTTGCTTAATCCTAAATCACCTGTTCCGTAATCGGTAAAAATTCCACTGTACTGATATATTCACGGTGAATAATATTCAAATTATATAAAATTGTTCTAACTAATTCCCAAAAAAAGTTTAATAAAATGCTTAGTTTATGCAACGTGTCATATCCGATTCATAATTATCATAAAATCTTGTGTAATGTGATCTTGGGTAATTCCATAATTTTCATTAATAAACGAACTGACATAAACTAAAGTCAAATTAAAATTATGCATATTAGCGGTTTATTTATCTGAAATCTTAATTTAGAATTTTTTTTGCAGTTAAACTTCATTTGAAAATTTGCAGATCTATTCTGTTTTTTTGATTAGAGAATTAATGTTAATTCCTTGAAATTAGTTTTAATTCCATAGAATTGTGTAATACCCAATAATATTAATTTATAGAATTAATGTCTGATGACATTAATTTTACAAAACGAATCTCTCCAGTGTTAAGAAATCGAAATTAAAACCAGAAATCTTAATTCGAATATTAAGTTGATAATGGTATGTAATAAGATTGAATAAATGATTTATGCTGTTGTGACGTTAAATTTCCATAAAATTAACATCCGACGATATTTTTTTTTATGAAATTAACAATCATAGAACTAAATAATCATAGGACTGTAGGACTGTGCTTTATCCGCAGATCTTTTTTTTTTCAATTCCCCTAACTTTTTTTATAATAATTAACAAAAAAACCGGTTCCATTTCCAAGACCGGGAATTCAATGGTTTCAAAGAAGCTCCTACAAAAGAAAGAAAAAAAGAACGTTAGAAACATTCTTAGAGAAATTCACCCACCCCAAAATTTACCTTCAAGAAGATATCCGAAAAGTCCGTTCTAATAAAAATTTTAAAAAAAAAAAATTAAAATAAAAAAAATAAAAAAATTCAAAAAATAAAGAAAATTTTAAAGCCGCTATTACTGCAGTATCAATTGGAACATAATCAAGTTTGGGACATTTGATTCTTTAAACACGACTATATTTTAAATTAACTTAGGTCAATTTGGGATATGGTCAAGTTTGGGACCTTCGATTCTCCAAACCTGACCATGTTCCAAATCTATCTAGGTCATTTTGGGATACGGTTGTGTTTGATATAATATGTTTCAAACTTGACCATAAACCAAACTAACTGGGTTAGTTTGGAACACGGTCAAGTTTGGGGTATCGGGACACCCAAACTTGACTATGTCCCAGATCCGATTTGGGATATTCCAAGTTGAATTTGAAACATGATCAAGTTTGGGACATGATCATCCCAAATCAGAAATTGCAGTTTGAGAAGTCCGAAATAGGAATTCCGATTTGGGATATCTCAAGTTTAACTTGGGACATGGTGACGTTTGGGCTACAACAGTACCATTAAAGTTTTCGGAGAATTTTTGTCGTAATGATTCCTCTTATATACTCATTAAATAATAATTTAAATATTTTTTATAGTTTTATCTAAAGATATCTTTTAAAATGAAACTCAATATTGGAATCTAAATCCGAAATGATGTAAAAAATGTATTCCTTGTACTGTTATTTCGTTATTTGTATGCAAATGCATTGATATTGTTAAATGAATATATAAAGTTTTATATGGTTAACAATGCCAGACACAACTTCAAGTGAATAACGATAATACTAGATTTGTTATAATTATTGGAAAGTATTTGTAAAAAATAAAGTTAAAATTAAAAAATAAATTATCCCAAACACAGGTTGCTAGGTAAAAGGGTTCTGAAAACTGTTTATTATTTAGTTTCGGAACCCTTTTCTCAACAATTAGAATTTTTGACGTTCAAATTGTGATCAAAAAGATCGCTGCGCCATAATAAAATCAACCGAAATTGCGCCAAATCAATACATATATATTAATGATCTTTCGTCATGTAGTAAAGTTCAAGGAAGAAGCATATCTTCAAAAGGGTTTTTTCGTCGTTGGTAATTCAGCAAAAAAAGCAAAATATCATCTAAACCAAGACTTTCTTGGAACTTTATTTTCCCATACTGGTACCTTCATATTTAATATAATATAACAATGTGTACAGAACAAATCAATGACATTAACCCGAAATTATACAGTAATGTCAATTTTTTTTTTTTTTTTAGTTTGATTTTGACAATTAATAAAAATATAATTAATAAATTATTCTATTTTAAGAACATTTTTTTTTTACGGGTTGTGCTTGTTAATCGAATAGACTTCAGCTCAGTTAAAATTATTCAGGTCATTAGTAATCTATGTTAATCATTCGAAAGTCTGAGTACTACTTTATTAGCTATTTTTCTAATAAAAACCATTTCTGACATTGAATGTGATGTGAAAAGGAATTTATTTTTATCATTCATCAATTAAGTATCGGAGCAGTAATTTTTTTCTATTATTGGTCCATATTTCAAAATAATTACGCCAGAGTCACATTTTTATTATCGC